GCGCTGTTCAGCTGTCTCCAGGGTCTGGCTTCAGCGGTTTCGGTTTTCAATCGTTTGTTCGCAAGTCGAGAATTACGGCTTTCTTGTGATTCTGAGGCTCTCAGAGCAGCAAGCCGCATTCGAGTTTGCGAGGGACTTGCTCCAGGCTCTTCCAGCGTTAGCGTCGCCCTCGCTTCGGTTGTTCTGGCACGATTGCCTTCTGGCCGTTCCTGGCCGTTTCCGTTTCCAGAGATCTCAGCCTCTCTCTGATGCTTAACTTTTTGGCCTTAGGATCAACTCTTCCAATGGGATGCACGCTTCTTCGGCGTCATCCTGTGATGAATACAGCCTATAAGCTACACTACACGCTTCTCGGTATCCGAGATAAACAGAGCCATTAGGCTTCTCGGTACTCGAGATAGAGCCTTTAGACTTTCCGATACTCGATATAGAGCCTATTGGCTTCTCGGTACTCGAGGTAAATCTTTGGCTTCTCGATATTCGAAGTAGAGACTTTGAGCTTTTCTACTCGAGGTGGAGCCTGTTGGCTTCTCGTTACTCGAGGAAGAAAAAGCCTTTAGGCTTTGTCGCTTGGTCTTCAGATCCTTAGTCCTTTGTCAAATCCGCAGGTCCTTAGATCTTTGGTCCTCGCTTGGTACTCACAATCAGAGCTCTCGGTGGTCCAGTGGCCGCCGGCTAGCAGAGGTGAGTGACCAAAAATGCCGAGATTGGCTGCCTTATATACCCTTCAAAAAGGGGGCGAGGCCGGATGTGATTGGTTGCACCAACTCGGAAGGGGCGGATAGATTTTCTATGAAAAGCCTATGCTTAACCACATGAAATGACCGCCCCTCCCCCCCCCTCCTCCCTGGAGACGTATGTAGGGCGAGGCTGTAAAAGGCGCCACGATCCAGTCATTTCTGATGGTCCTCGTGCCTGACGGTTGCCTCAGCCGAGGACAGCCATCGCTGCACGGCCACGAGGACGACATCGGTGCCTCAGTCGAGAACGATTACCATCGGTTGCCTCTAGCTCAGATAATCGCCGGGGGCAGGCGGTCAGCAGAATTTTGACCAAACCTTCAGCGAGCGGTACTTCCTTTACTGTCGCATGTTCTGCCAGCGGGCAGCAATACAGGATTTTTTGCAAGCGCTCATCAAATATTTCCGTTCAGCGAGCAATGACCAAACTTTCAGCAGGACTCTTTTTACGCAGTTTTGGAATTACTCGAACAAAAGTAAGACTCCATATGACACAGGTATCATCGATGGTTTAGTTGCCTAAGTTTGGGGTATTCTCTCTTAGCGGAAAATACCTATGGGATGCGCAGTCCTTCACAAAGGATCGTGCGGCCCTCAACAATTTTGGATGCTCTCTCGGAAGGTTCACGAGGACGCGCGACTGCGCCGCAACTAATCTATGAAAAAACTGCGATTGTTCTCCCAGCATTCGTCCAAAAAATGCCAATACTTCCAAATATCTGCAAGCAAACTACAAGAAATCAGCGAACTATTTTTTCGGTGACCGCTTGATCATAATTTGCATGGCCGCCTGCCCCCGGCGATAATCTGAGAGGACAACCATCGGTTGCCCTCAGTTGAGGATAACCATTGGTTTCACCTGGTCGAGGACAACCATCGGTTTTGAAAATCGAACCACTGAGTCAAGACCTCACTCGAGGTGACCATCCGGTTACCTCCGTCAGGTGGAACCAACGGTTCATTTCGACGGACGCGTACGGATGTATCAGTACTCGATGGAAGAACCGGAATTTTCAGAGAAAAATCAAAAAAGTCTGTACTAGTTTCAGGGACATCCTGGGACCTTGGGTCAAAACGTACATGCTAACTTTTGAAAGCTAACCCACCGGTGCAACTCGAATATTTTTCCCTTTCTCATTCCGTAGTGCCATCATGATTTCCTTTCAATAATTTCGAAAAAGCCCTGGAAGAGCTGTTTTTTGTGAAAACATTCATGGTATGTTTGCCCACATATAGAATGTGTGCATGCAAAATTTCAACAAAGCTCTATTAGAAACTGAATCTAAAAGAGTGTTTCGAAAATGGAACATTTTTTCAAAATATAATGTTGGCTTAAAAATTAGTTCGTTTTGGCATACAAATCATCACAAAAAATTTTCTTGCTGTTTTCTATCTATGATTCCTTGTGGGAAGTAGTTCAAAGTTTTCTCTATCAAATGACAAATATTCAGGATTTTCTACTATCAGTAAAGACAATTATGCCTCAATATGGCGAAATTTCCAAAAGCTCAGTTCTTCGACTTCCTAAGCTTCGTTTTCATGTGTAATCGATGTAAAGAACAGCACTTTGGTATTTGGATACAGAAGAGTTTTCCCTATTTAGTGAGTAAGGAAGAGAATTGTGATCTGCCACTTTGAAAATGTTCCACCAAGAAAACCAAATTTTCTCATATTTGCGCATCATGAGAAAATTGTGCTTTCTCACTTTTTTGCAAATTTTTTTTCTTGGAAGATAAGTTTCACACAGATAGAATGTATGCCGCCCCAATACCCATTGACGTGCTCTTTCCACCGAATTGGACAAAAATCTGTCTGCAGCATTTGTAAGAGCTGAAAAAGCGACCGAACTTAATTATTAGCCAACCTAATAGTTTAGACCCGCCAAAAATTAAAATTGTTGTGAATTTATCGAAATGAACGGTGTACTCTTTCAATACGTTTGAGCGTGGCATTAGCACTCGATTTGTTCAAGGAGGTTTTTATTTCGTAAAAGTGCCCTCGCTCAATTCCATACCGATTTCCATCCCTAGATGACAGAAGCGATATTTTGATGGAGGATTGAGGATGAGAAATAAAGATTACTTCATTTGAATCAGCATAACCAAGTACAAACTCACACCTTTAAGGGGGGCTCATTACGTGCGGGAGGACCATCGGAAAACGTCGCAACGCGGCAGCGCGCGGGGAGAAGTAGTGCAGCAAACTTGTGAAATCTATACACCTAGATCAACTATGCTTCTTCTACACCGTTAGTCTTTTACATTCAACAGTTTGTGTCTTTTTTGTCCTCCAAAGTGCTAATTTTACAAGTTTTGTGGGGCAACTTCAAATAAGTAAGCAAAACTAAAATGGGAATAGTCTTTGAACCTCAACAAAGGATGAGAGATTGAGAAATTGTGTGCTGAGAATCGGGCTAACCGAATTTCCTAAATGCGGTCACCGGCAGTCTGTCGCGCGCGACGTTTTCCAATGGGCAGTCCGCACGTAACGATACGCACCCTACTCGTGATCAGCATGCTCGCTTACTGCCTTGTGCCAACTCCCAGCGCCGTAGCTCAAACTTTGCAAAAAATCGATAAAATCGATAAAAGTAGCGGATAATTTCAAAAACCAATTATGTTTTCGTAATCAGCATGCTCACTTACCCCCCTGTGCCAACTCCAAGCCCCGTGGCTCAAACTTTACAAAACCTCGATAAAAATCGATAAAATCGATATCGATCAATAATGAAAGGGTTGTTTCATACTGCAGTCGCGCAGCAACGAAAATCAATCGATCGATATCTTTTGCCCGCCGCGATATATCGTGTATGAAACAACACAACCCAAAACTAGCCTAAACACCCGTCCCGCTCCGAAGTGTATGTGTGCCAAGTTTGGTCCGGATCGGTAGAAATGGAATTTTATATTCGGAACATACGTACACACATACAGGAAGGCATACAGACAAACAAACAGACATTCAGATTTATATATAAGATTATTTGAGAGAGAAAGGATATCACATTTTAAGCTGGTAACATCACAATATTTGCTAACAAAAAGGTTTCGAACTTCTTCCATCTATCTCATCCGAATCTTACCAGAAAATTTTACTTGGATCTGATGGAAGAAGTGTAGTTTCTGGTAGTTTCATCATGTAATGTTTTTCAGCTCAGAAAAAAATGATCTTTAAAGAGTCTACAAATTTGCAGCAGTCGAGTAAAATGATGTTTTTAGAAAAATTGATTTTCCTAAAGATATAAGGATTTTGTCTTCACTTAGATTGTGCATTTGCCTTTACTCAACTTGTGTCCACTCTAATATAATTTTTTGTGCTCAAACCACATAGAAGAAGGTGACTGGGGAACCTAAAGTGAGTTCAACCACGGCCCCGCCCCGGGCAGGCTCCTTCCCTCTAGTGGAAAGTTCCTTCCGCTTTTCAAAAATGCAGGACTTGTAAAATTCAATCAATTTCCAGCATTTTTAATAAGCGGAGGGGGGGGGGAGCTTGGCACAAAGAGGAGGAGCTGCCCCGCCCTTGCACGCAAAGGTGCATGCGTATAGGTCAACGTGGTAACACACAAAAACGACGTTAACGTATAGTTGTGAACTTCTTGACAAACAATAATAGTAGTTCAACAGTGCGCAGTTCCATTCAAGACGCTTGCTAGGGGCAGATAACTTCAGAAACACTGTCTGTGGGGACGAATTCTCATAGACTAACACCTGAGAAATTTTTGAACATAACATTTTCAAATATATGAGTAACCTGCATGATCTACGGCTACGCCGGCCCTGTTGATACTCCGATAAAGATCAGTTTCTACTTCTAAGCAATGCTTCCCTGTCTCCTTCTCACGTCATAGGCCATTTCCGTTCCTTAAGTTATGAACATACTTACAACCTACCAAACAAACCGTTGTAGCGTTACTCTCCAAAACTTGACAGACCATAGTGCCTCGAAGCACTTTGGTCTCTTGGTCTAGTGTTTTCATTATTGGCATGCTCTCCCCCCCCCCCTGCCCACCAGCTTAGCGCTTCAGGCCTGCGATAAGGTTTATTGTAATCGAACAAATGAAGTTTTCATTCGAAACATACGTACAGACATACACGCAGAGACACACACGGAAAACAAGTTTTACCTCTTATCTTGTTCTATGACGTTTTCACTAAGCAAGAAGTTACGCATGTTTATTAAACATAATGATGATGAGCATCCTCACAATCAAAATAAAACAAAGTTTTTGAACGTTGATGGCCTTCCAGAAATTTTGGAACATTATATCTAAAGAGTTGAGTGTGGCTTTGTTACAGAACGTAATTTGAGTACCATGGCGGTAATCATCGCTAAAAAATTTCTGCATTATGCCCTTTTTGCAACCAAATCACGTAATCCTTTACCTTCCTCTCCTCTACACTTCTCGTGGATACGAAAATGACAGATGCCTTACTGTTCTTACGACAAAACAGTTGAGACACTCCTTGACGCAAGCTACTGTTGAATATGAGATATACTGTCGGGTTTGCCTTAAAAATGAATTTTTTCAGAAATATAAATATGGCAAACGAGTCTTACCGCAGTGTTGAGAAAGTAGAATGTTGTCGTCGAAAAGTCAACCCATTCTGTAGATGGCATATATGGCAGCCATGTCCAACATGACCATGTCATGAAGTAGATCAAAAATGCACCAAAAAACTAAAGTATCACCAAATTGAAAAATCAAAATGTTTCTTCGAAAATTCGAATTAGCAATGTCTAAAAATTTGTAGCAATGCTCAACACCAATATAGTTAAAAAATCTCAGGCAGATTTTAACACTCGTTTAACACGTGAAATTGTGGAGTATGATGTTGAAAATGAAATTTATTTATAGTTGTTGCGCTTGAAATACAACATGTTTTTCACAACTTTATTTTTTTATAAATTCACGTAGCAACTGAAATAATTTTTGAGCTCTTACCTGAGCAAGCAACCGAGCCTCCATCCTGTTACTGCGATTAGTGATGTTTTCAGTGCTCGAAGTAGATTGCTGAAAGCAGCAGTTCATGTTGCCAAAGGACTGCTTAATAAAATGGTGTTTTGCCTAATTTGATAGTTTGGAAATTGCTAATGTAGACAAACCTGTTACTTGAAGATTAGACTTGTATGGCCAAATTACTACGAATCCTTTTATTAGGTTGTTACATAAGTCTTGTTACACTTAACGTCTAACGGCAATAAATCATGCAGCTTATATTATTTACAGGGCTTCAGGACACCATTCAATAGAGCAAAGCAAGCTCTACAAGATAGTATGCCAAAGGTCGCACCAATTTCGACCCACTGTAACTTTGCATCCAAAATCTGAATCCCAGTGAAGGCTCAAAAACTGCGAAAAATTCATATTTTTGTTCAGAAAAATCCTACAAATGTCTAACTTGCTCATAAAAATTGCCCACTTTATCAAGCACTCATATGTACTTGCTGTATTTTTTCCTCATCTAGAAATTGAGAAAAGAAAATGTTTTAGTTTTCACAAAAACGAAGCTCTGTTTGTAATCGTGAGGCTGTGTACTACGAGCCCTTAGAAGTATAACCGTGAAAAAAGAGCTCTCCAGAAGCTCTAGTTTTCGAAAATTATCTAGCTTAGCATTGAACATCCGAGTGGAAGAAGCTAAATTTGGTGTTTTTCGAAAACTAGGGCTTCTGGAAATCTGAAAATTTACATTTATACTTCTAAGGGCTTGTAGTACACAGCTACATGAATAGAAACAGCATAGCTTCGTTTTTAAGGAAAAAATATAGAGACGGTATATATAAGTGTCTAATATAGTGTGCAATCTGCGTGAAGGAGTTGGAGATGCAGAGGATTTTTTGATAGAAGTTGATAGAATAATTTCAAAGATATGAATTTCCGCGATTTTTTGTGCCTTCACTTCGACTCATGTTCCGGATGCAAACTTACGGTGGGTCAAAGCTGGTGCAAACCTTTTTTAGCTTTCGGCTGCTCACATATTCTGGCACGCCAGAACCCCTGCCGATGGTTGCCCTTTCTTTTTATCGGAGGTGAGCTCGAGGTCCGCACTTTTTTGTTTGAGCTCGTCTAAGCAAGCTGTTGATTTACGCTGGTAAATTTACCCACTGAACCACTTGTTTATTATGCTAAAAAGGCCCACCATACCACAGTATGCCAGGCTATACAAGAGTATATAGCCGCCCGTCACTTATCAAAAACTCGTTGCTTGCAAACTTTGATTCTCGAAAATTGTATCCCGGCTTCGCACGGCTGATGAAAAGAGCAAGTCTCGTTGCCTGTAGTAAACCCTCCTTGAGTCGCGACGACTCGCTCGGAGCAGGGCAAATGCCCTTCTTATGCCTTTTTGCTGCCGCCTCATGAATAAGCGACAGGCGACGTGACGTAGGCACATGCCCGGCACAACGCCTCGGCAACCGGTAGGCGCGACAAGGCGGCACTGTGTGCCCGTCATGCAGACTGGCCAAGACAGTGGCTTCAACGGAGGTGCAGAGAGGTCGTGGTGCCGACACATGACTAGCGGTCGAGTAATCCGGGGTGGTGGTACCGGCCGCCGGTCCGTAGTGCCCGACTAACGCTATGCACGGCAGATTTGGTCGATGTCAACAGCTGATCTGCGTGCAAACAACAATACCTTCAGCAAACATTATTTCCCAAAATTCTGTTCTGTATTTCGTTTCGGTGCTCTAATAAGTGAGTTTTTAGCATTTACAAAGCATTCTGAGTCTAGCTTAACCAGCTCTTGCAGTTGAAAGTTCTTGGCTTCGAGTCTCATCTCGATACTGATTTGACGCTGATTGTTTTCTGCATGCTTAAACCCGTCATTTCTTACGTTTCACGATGTCTCTATTGTAATTTTGCTATTTTGCCGTTCATCGGCTATGCACCGTTTTCCTTTTTTCATTTTCCTGCAGCATACCATTATTTTCCAAGGCATTCTTGTTAGTTTATTGTTTGTACGTTATTTTCCTTTGGAAGCTGTTTAAGGTTTTATTATGATGAAATGTAAATTTGACAAAAAATGCGGTATTGTCGCAGGCTGTGCAAAAGGTTTATCTGGGATTTGTGCCACCAGTGTTTAGCACGCAGTAGCGTTCGACAGTGAACTGCGCTATCTGCATTGGTTACAAGAAACCTCATTGCCTTCATATATGATCTTTTAGGTAGCGTTTGCAGTTGACTATAATTCTTGATACCTCAAACAGCGCGCGATAATTCTGCTAATCGTTTCTCCGCTTTTGCCAGAGACTACTCCATCTGTCGTGTGTAGCCTCCTTCCGCTATGGCGAAAGTGTTACATATAGCGCAGCGGCTGCGCGCACTGCTCGCTTTGGTCATTGCGAGTTTGGCGTCGGGCGAGCGCACAATTTTTGCGGCAAACAACGCACCGTCGCCCAAGTTGTGACTCGTTTTGAAAGGTCACGACCGCGCCCTCTTTACGTTGTGACGACTTTGGGGTACTCTCAAGTGACCATGGCCTCTTGAGGCGAGATATATACCAGTTCGCTCTTCGGTAAGCTGGAGCAATGTTTGTGTTTGGTATCTGCTGTGCGTTTCTGTGTACAATACCGCTCACAAAATATGCAAAATTTCCGTGAATACCGCGAAATTCCGAAAATTCCGCGAAATTCCTGGAATTTCGCGAAACTTCGCGAACTTTCTGAAATTTCGCGAAATTCCGGAATGTTCGCGGAATTTTCGGAATTTCGCGGAATTTTCGGATTTTCGCGACATTCACGGAAATTTTGCACATTCTGTGAGCGGTATTGTAGAAAAGCATAGCTTGTTTCCTTTGTGTTCGCACGGCTTGCAAAAAGAGCAAGTCTCGCCGAAACTTCCATCAGCAACTTGTCGCTGGTGGATAATCTGTTAGCTGTAGATGTGGTATACTTTTGTGCTTGTGTTCTTTTAGATGTAAAATGTTTGCTGTTGCATGTAAAGTTCTTTCTTAAACACGGGCGAGGTAAAAAGCTTTTCATCAAAAGCTAATTTTTTTAGTTAACCGTGTTTAAATGGTGCAAATTTGTTTTGAGTGCAGAAACATTGTTCGAACATGCTACGGGCCAAAGGTCATACCGCGCGCGACGCCCGCTCGCCGCGCTGAAATTTTGTGCCTCACAAAAACCGGAGCTAAATTGGCACTGCGCCAGTGGGGAAGGGGTGGCGGCATATATTAGGTTGATTCATAATTAATGCATGTTTTCTATACTTCAACTTCCAACCGAGATAATTCTTTCCTGAAAAGACATATCTAATCGCAATAAAAACTACTGTAACCACCAACCAAATCAGTGTCTATGAGATAGATACTTTTGCGTGACTGTATCTATTGCAAGAAAGATTTCTGGCCTGAAGATTGCCAACAACTTTCTTCAGAAGCCTCTATTTTGAAAGAGCGTAACTTATGTTGAAATGAAGTAACATAAAGCAGACTTCACTCATCGTGGAGCCAAGGATCTCTTGAGCAGTAATGCCAGGTTTGGATTCAATGGAAATTTTTTGAAAGAAAATGTCGCGAAAAAGTCGAAAGCACTCACTTTTTTCTGGCAACTCGGCGGGTTCAGAAATCGATCGTTTTTGAATTTATTTCGTTTTTCTCTGCTGGAAAGTGAGAAAACCCTAGCGCTTTTCTACCATCAAATGAACTAGGTCTACCCTTGCTGGGTAGTGCAAAAGACCTACAATCGCCTTTTGCCTCAAAGATTTATTTGGCACGGAATGGCCGCGATGATTATTAAAGTTCGCGATTGAATTTCTCGGCTCAGAATCCATGGAGAATTTTGTTCAAATAGCATCTTGTAGCACAAAATTCTCTAATCCTTATGCATATTTTTTGAAATTAATTTGGCTATTCCTAACGAGTTTAGGGCAGAAAGAGTGAAAAGCAAAAATTTTGGGATTTAGTCTCTTTTGTTTGAAGGCTCGGAACTTTGAATTGAACGGAGATTTGCGAAAGCGATGGGGCGCATAAGGAACTGGAAGGAACGCTCTTTTAGATAGCGTAAAAAGTTTTTGAGGAAATTGATTACACCTCAAATAACAGCTCGTGGAAGAAAAGGTGAGAAAAACGTGCATTAATTATACAACACCGCTCACATTTTTTGAAAAAAAGACGCGAATGTATGGACATGTATGGACATGTACGGACATGTCCATACATGTCCATACATTGTCTTTTTTTCAAAAAATGTGAGCGGTATTGTATGAATCAACCTAATACATGACTCGATGTACTAAGTAAAATGGGGCAGGAATACTAACGGTAGCTGAGCTCTGTACTACTTGATGTCGCATTGCGGCGTCGCTTAGCGGAAAATCGTGACATCTGATCCATACCCATTCGAACACAAGATGAACACAAAGAAATGCTCGCGTGCTACGCTTGTCTTTTTGATCACACTTTTCCACAAAATCACGCACAAATCAGTACTTTCCCGGAATATAAAATTACTCAAAACTGGCTTACTTGTTCAATCGGGCACACGTTCACGGTTGCATAGACGGCGTAGTCTATACTTATCGTGAGCTGCGCAAACTCGGAGGAAGGTCCTGAATCCTCACACAAAAACGCTCAGCAGATAAGGAATGCATATGGGTTCAGTATACCAACTAACATATGCTAGTATAAATCTCTTTCAAAATGCCGCGGTAGCTCAGGATCCTTCTCTTGTTAAGCTCTAACTTAAGTTTTGTTGATGATGGCAAAACAATTTGTACCTCTACCGAATGCAGAAGACTTTCGGAGAATTATTTTGCAAAAAAGAGCATTACTCAATCTTCTAAGTGATGCTTGAATGTCAATCAGAATTTGTCAATTTCAGAATGTCAATTTTGAAGATGGCTACGTGTAGTGATCAGTTTTGTATAGCTGAAGATATAGGTAAAGTTAGCCTAGATGGAATTGTTACGAAATACTACACTTAGCTTTTCGTCATGATAAACCCTATCGAAGCACGGAAGATCGAAGTCAGCGCGAAATATCCTACCAGCGATGGTTATTGGATTGTCTCTAGCTTGGAGAGTTAATGGGGGAG